AGTTCCCTTTAACTACCTCTCACCTTATATTTAAGGCTCTCCACTGGAACATTTGTTGGTGGTGTCCATTCCAGCGTCACTTTCGTTTCTTCAGACATTACTGCCTTTAATAAACTGGGTGCGGCTGGGCCTGGAGAGAACGCATACGGGCAATAAATCCAGGCAAATTATTTACAAATAGCTGAAATGGATGAACTTGCGTTGCATGCAAGCCACATTGTAAGCCGCCACTTGAGCTGGAGAGAGGGGTCAGGGATGGGAGGGTAAACATCTTGGTCGCCTTCTTGAATTGCATTGAAACTCCAGATCTATCCAAATACTTTATATTAAAAAAAGCTTGAGGCCCAAACAATGGTATAAGTTGACAGCTGTAAACGCATTTTATTATTATCATATTTTATTATTGTTTCTATCTCTTTTTGCAAAAAGAGCTCCCAGTTTCTAATAAAAATTACTCTACTTCATGGCACTTTAAACTTTCTGCCAGTAGCAACAAAGTGGGAACAAATTTTATACGCCTTAATTTCTTCAATAGAGTAAGAAACTTATTATCTTTCTGTTAGTAAAGGCATTACTGAGTCCACGGTGGCGAAACTGGCTTTGTGGAATATGTAAATTTCTCATAGCCATTTTATGCTAAAACCTTGCTTGTTTATCAGGGTCCAAATACTTGATATAAATGTCAAAACAGGCTTCCATGAAATATGTATTTCTTAATACGGTAAGGACAATCAAACCGCTACAAAGCTGCTCAACTACTAAAAGGAGGAGGCGGTAGTAGGGAAGGAGGCGGGTCGATGAATATGTTTTGTGGCTTGTGGACGAGATCAAGAACGCGACATCCCTTATTAAAGATGATAAATGAATACTAGATTGGTTGTATCACAGGCGGCCCAAGCTCGGTGCATAAATTATATTGAATTTCACATACAAATTCTTTAAATGGTTCGTAATATGAAAAAAATAAATAAATAAAAAATAACACAGTATCGAAACTCGCGGTAATTTATGCATCGAACTTGGGCCGCCTGTGGGTGTATACGTCATCTAGATTGAAATTTCAAGTTCAAATTCTCGATTCCATGCTCCCAACCTCTCCTTGCATCGTGGGAAAAGTAATTCCAGTTGTCGAAAATTAGCTATTTCCGAGTTACCACCAGCCTCTGTTTCAAAGCGGCAAGGCTTGGTGCGAAGCGATTGATACGAAAATGATTTTTTCCGTATGCAAAGAAAACTTATTTTCACAAGAAATGTTTTACACCTTGCCACCTTGAAAGTGAGAGATTTTGGAACTCGGAAACGGCCAATTCAGACTACTTACTTGATGTCTGTAGCTGTGTGGCCGGACCATAGGGCCCAGGTCCGACGGCAGTAAAAGCCCGAACGGAAAAACTGTACAGGGAACAAGTGAGGAAATTATACAAAACAGCAAAGGTTTTTGTTGTATTGACATCTTTACTGCTTGCAGCTGTTCGCCGTGAGCATCCTCTCGTGGCTACTAACTCCGCATTTGCTTCATAGAGAACGACTTTCCCATTGCTCTTCTCCGTTGGTAGAGGAGCCCAAGAAATGTTGAATGTTGTTTCATTCAGTTCAGTAGTAACGAAATTATCTGGACCGAAGCTGGGTGCTAACAAGAAAAAGAAACATTCAAAAACCTTAACAAAGAAGTCGTAATAATATTTATAATCGACAAAAAAGGATACGTCTATATTACAGAAAGTTCTCTTGGAGGCAAAGATAGTTACCTACAATATTCCTTTCTCTACAAAAAGAATTCCTGCAGTAAAAGTACTTGCCTGTGTAATTATTAAAAGGAGCTCAGATGTCAGTGTTCTGTTAGAGACATGAAGTAGATATCAAACAAATTTCACCACGGAGGACCAATCATAATACTCCTTTGGTGATTTTGGCAGGCATAGCATCAAAACTTAACAAAAGGTGGCCTAACTTTTTCAAGTTTCATTCCATCTCCATCTTGCTAACCGTTACAACACACACATGTCCAATAGTCTCGACTAGATTCTAGTGGACAAAAACTGGAGTAGGACCAAGTAGGAGATTGAGAGTCAGTGCGAGTTCTCAAACCATGTCGAGGATTAAAGCATGTCACAAAACCATCAAAATGTTCCTTTCATCTTACGAAGCTCTATGTCCTGGTTAGCAGCAGAAAATATTGAGAGCTTCGTGGACACAACTCACTCGTAGTCAAATGTAATGGTCGCTATTTATTAACGTTTTAACCCGACATTTGACGACGCCATCGCTGGTTTCTCCTCGAAATGACGTCTGAGTAGCGAAATTTTATACTCATGACGCGACCGTATCCAGATTTTGGTGGTGTCTCTGATTGGTTAAAGCACATTTTTAACCAATCAGAAGTCCTTTCATCAAAATGGAATTTCTGCCCTAGTTTCTTAAACGGCATTTCGCGGTGAACCCAGTCATGGCGTCGCAAATTCGGCTGTTTTCTCAGGCTACTGAGGAATTCTTAGCCTAAGCATCGTATATGTACGTGTTTCCATTCCTACATTTACGGCACATGTCTTACCGTCTTCACTTGTTCTTTCCGTCACAACAGAGCTTTTCGGTCCTTCCCCAGCGAAGGTGAATGCAGAGACTTGAATATCGTATTCTGTGTATTTCTCCATCCCCGTGATCGTCTTAGAGAGAACAGTTCCATCGTCAATAGTGACTGTGTTCGCTGGACAAGAGGCACCTTTTTTCTGGTAATACACTATAAATCCCGTAATAGGTCCATTTCGGGATATCCCGCGGGGTAGCTGCCAGTTCGCTGAAATACTAGTCGAGTTGTTGACAGTCAAACCCAGGTACGTAGGGGCTTGTGAAGGAGCTGAAAATGGGAAGTCAAAAGGTCATTTTTACCATGACGAAATTTGACTACAACTTCCAGAAAACATTTCGTTTTTGCATTCTTGTCTAAATTTGTGAATCCTCTAGAGATTTAAAGACAACTGCAATAGCCTTAACTTGCAGAAGAAAACAACAAACTGAAGGATTTTGGTAATTGGGGTAAGATGACGTCATCGTACAATTGTCCTATTATGAAGTCAATTGATTAAGTATTTTGCTAACGGTAAAGGATATATAAACGATACATTATTTTATTAGATACATACTGAGAAATACTCACCAAAAAGCTATGTCGTAAATTTTCGTACGCAAATTAGTTCTAGCCAATCAAAGGAGCGAACGATGGGTTTCAAACGTGAAAAAAAATGATACGTCCAAACAGAATCGCGAACGATGTTTTTTCACGTATGAGAAAAATGATACGTCCAATCAGAAGCCACAGAGGTGTGAGTTTGGCGCCAAACTTCCCGCCTTTTATTGCAGCTTGCAGCGCCGCTTCGCACACGTTCAACGAGAAAAGTTTTACTCAAAGAGTTTTTCTCGTTAAAAAAGTGAGAAACATTTTGGAAATGGAGTGGAATAGTTTCGTTTGTTTCACTGTCGATAAAGAAAACGGTAGAGAAAGCGGAAAGCGGAAAGGGAAAAACAGAACGAGACGTAAGCTTTTGTTGTGCTTTTTGTCGGAGCTACTTTGCCTTTCATTTAAGCTTAAGCTTATATTGAAACCGGCCATTGTACTTAAATTCACTCATTTTCAATTGTGCATTGAGAACGAACAGTTAAGATTACTTATAGTTCTTGGATTACCTCATATCCTTACCGTCATTTATGTTTTTAACAAACGTTTTTACTAAAAAGCTGGTACTTCGTTTTCGTTGTCATTTTGCGGTAAGTGTGTAGCGGCAAATTTTAGCATTTTTGAAAGATTGAAAATAAAAAGGCCCCCAAAATGAAGAATGTCTCAGTATGTATATAATAAACACAATACCACATGGAAAGTGCTTTGTACGGTATTTACGCACTCGTTATTTTTGTATCAGAAGTCTTACTCGTTCGCTGCGCTCACTCGTTCGATTTCTGATACGTCAATAACTCGTGCGTAAATACCGTACGCCAGCATTTTCCATGAAGTATTTTCTATATATCAATACAGAAATACATTGATATATGGAGGATATTACAGAGGATATGGTCGCGCGATGATACGCAATCTCCCTTCGAGGGCTGAATAATATTAACTAGAAATATGTGTATCGCAGAACCTCACGAATCATTGGGGTAGGTGGCTCATCCGCTGTTAGAATTGACACTCACTTGAAAGTGTGCCGATTGTTTTCTTGTATTATCTAACTGACTAAGAATTGTTGAACTATGTTGTAGGTTTATGTTTATTTTGGGGTAAAAGTAAGTGCAAGGTTTGTTAAATTAATTGCCTTGAGATGTAGGTCCTTGAAATCGAACAATGGACTAACGGTGCTGATATCGAACTGCGGTAACTTCTGCAAGATTTCTTAACCTGCGTTCTTCTTGAAGCCTTTCCTGTAATCGCTTGCTCTTTCCAGTTGATTCTAGTCTTTGAAAGGATATCGGCTGGAGCACTAAATTTTGTAAGGAGCGCACTCTAGAAGGAGAAACAAAACTACTTCCTGCAGATTTTCCGTCTTAGGTCCACCACAACTTGAGGTAATGTTTGACCTTGCGATTTGTGAATAGTCATGGCATATCTCAGTCTCAGTGGTAGCTGCTGTCTAGAAAGTCTCTGCCTATCAGTTTCCCATTCAAATAAGTGTAGTGGCAGGGGCACAGTGTTAGGGTTTGTTGCTAAAAAACGGGAACTGTGTAGTTTGCGAACTCCACGAGTGCTGCAATGGGTAGGCAAGGTGGAAGGCGATCATGATGAAAGAGTAGGTCTTCCACCACACCAATAGCCCCATTACACATCCCGACTTCCTGCCAAAGGTTGCATGTAAGCATAACAGAGGCCACCAGCATCGTCTGATGTGGCGTTCTTTGCATATCAACCTGAATGAAGAGCAGATTTACGAGCTATTGACGATTCAAGGCTCTCAAAGTTGTACTTTGCCACACTAAGCTTGTCAAAATATAATCGCAATGCATCTGTAAAGTCACTCACGTTTACGTGCTGTTGTGTCCTCTGACGGTGTTATCCAGTCATCTTGAGTAGTCTGACCATCTCGTAAGCGACGAGGAATTGCTCGAAATTGTTCTGCCTCAGGATTGTTTTCAGTCTGTCTAATATTTCCGAAAGCATAACAACTGTTTCAAAAAGACAATAAATGAAGGATCAATGTTGTGCGAGTAAAGGACTGGACTGGGATGGGAAAGCATAAACAGGCGTATCTCCAACAGGTGGTAGCTGTGCAAAATTTCCAGGCAACATAACAGAACTCCCTCAAAAAGGTTCATAAAGTTCGCATGTTGATTGTCATAGACGCTTATCGACCCAAGCCAGTGTCCGCTGACCAAGCATTGACATTTTATCCGTAATAAGGTAGTGCTTTCCGGTGAAACGAAGTTACTGATGCTGAAATACTGTTCCCTGCAAGTCATTATCATTATGATTACGAAACGGTAGCTGTAATGCTCATTGTAAGGTACAGCCTGTCAAATCAGTGGTGCCTGTGAGTATACATGTTTCTCCTAGAAGTGCCTAGATTGTGCTAATAACATAAGACTTCCCTGATCCTGCTGTCCCTGTAATGATTACTCGAAATGGTTCTTCAGGGTTGCATCATTTCGCTTTGCTTAATAAGTAGCATCTGTTGTGTATTCAGTTGGCTGGATCAACAGATTGTTGCTGTCGTCTATTTAAAATGGTTGCGTTCCCTAGAGCATCGTTTCTTTGTTTTGTGATCCAGTTAGCAGATTCCCGAAGTAGACAGTCAAGTAGCATTGCTCTGCCAGTTTCTCTCCAATCAAACTGCAAGTTTTCATGTGATTGACTTCCTTGTGAGATTGTGTTATCATAGCGTTTATTGAGGTGACATAGCAGCATCTACTCCTCAGGTTCTTCTTCGCGATGTGGACCTTCATCATTGTGATCATAACTGTTGTAATCTTTATGTTCATCTCCATTATAACGTGACAAACAGAGAAATTAGTAAGTGGAAGAATACAAGTATTTTCCAAGACGCATACGTCACGTTCTCCAGTAACTTGAATCAGTGCTCTTCACAATGCACATGTAGCCATGTCTGTATTGCTGCGCCTCTTAACACACACACTGAGAATTCCAGATGCTGACTGTGATCGAGGTTCACTTTTTGTTGCATACTTTGCCATGTACCGGATACACTGGTCAGTGTACTAGTGTCAACGATGACTTGAAGATCAGCATTGGCTCTCCAGTGTTGTAGCATAACATGGTTGTGGGAGTTGATTCTTTTATCATTTCGCTTTGTGGTAAGTGTTGCTTTGACTCTAGCCTGGCTGATTTCCTCTACAGTTAATTCACGGTCTTGACTTGTGGTTGGCCTAAAGAGTTTAAAGCCAATAGAAGTTTCATCCTGGAAATCCTTTGGAAAATGAAATCGGCATGTTGGCTGCTTCCCTGGTTTAATCTTAATGCAGTATGCTGTACTACACTTTGTATAGCGCTCCACTGAATTAACAAGGGCTTTGTAGTCTCTATCTAAATTCCGTACATTTTCAATTGATATTGCTGATGGATGTGGTGAGGGAACGATCCAGTTGTTCTGGGGAAGTGCATCATTTAAAGTTGTTACCAGCCAATCAGCATACGATATTACGGTTGCTTGTGCTTCCTGTTCTGCTTGTATCTGAAGTTGGACGTCGTTAGCCATCTGGTGGTAACTTGGATGCTGTTCGTGGAGGCGTCAAGTTTGCTCCAGCTTCCAACCCTGGGCTACTGTCTTTACAAGGTTGCAAAGGCCTGCCTTATTGGATAGTTTGCACACCCATGCGCATGAATACTGCCACGTGCTTGCCACTCAAAGCGAAGCCATTTCCATTCGACATCCATTTCATAATCTGGCCAATGAGTACAAAATTCATTTAACCGTGAAACAAAGTAAGCATCTGTGATGTGAGGATTATCAATGACAGCCCTTATTCGAATGGAGGGTACTGCATTGTTTGGCCCTGGTAGAAGTCGGTGTAAATCTGGCCAATATAGTTATCAGCAGCACTGAAAGGAAAAAAAAAGTGGGAGCCCCAATCTCCTGTTCCTCTGTTCCTCTGTCTCTTGTTGTCGGCGTTGCCTTCGCTGTGCTAAGCGATGTTTCCTCTGCTCCTCTGCTCTGCGGTTTCTTGTTGACGTCTTCTCCTTCGTTGTTGACGCTGAATTTAAATTCGGCGTTTTCGCTCCAGAGGGGTTTCGGTGGAGAATCTTCCCCGGCAAGGATTTGCAGCCACTTGTTGCGCTTGGTGATGTGTGTCATTTGCATGGAAAATTGCTCGTGATTCACCGATCGTGAATTAAAGTAACGTTGTTTCATAGACGATGAATAAACACATCAGCCCTTCATGAATAAAACATCAAAGTGCGGCCTGGTTATCGGCGGCAAAGTCTATGTTGCCTGGAAACAGAAAATGCTCCACGATGGTAATGCTACATGACGTCATTAGCAGACACCAAGCGATATATTTAAAGAAAGAAAGATGGGGCATCCAATTTGCAGCTGGCTAAGACCACGCGCGGTTCACGTGTTGCGCAAAGCGCGCGCGAGACGAGACTATAAACTCTCTTCCTTCGGAACAATATTTTTAAATAGTCCCAAAATGCCAGACACTGGAAATGCGAAAGATTGCTACCCTCAAATTTTTGGATTTTTACATTAAAAAACGTGACTTGACGAACGGCATCTAATTTGCGTCACCCATCTTTGAATACAGTACATTACAGTACAGTATTGTTTTCTATTTCGTTTTGTTTGTATAGAGCTTGCTTCACTCATCTGATTTCTTCAAAGTTGAGTTGCTGTCTATGTTTAAGGTACTATGATCAATTGGTCCACTTCACAGTCTCTGGGAGTATTCTAAACGTTTCCACTGTTCATTTGAATGGCATTTGACTCCTCATATGGCTTTATCTACCGAAACCTGTATTAGGCGGACACCCTAGCTGTATTAAGCGGACACTACAGCATTCCCCGAGGGTGTCCGCTTAATACAGGTTTCAGGTGGAACTTAATTTAATACAGGTTGGCAACAATAGAAATGACCATTTCAGGTACTTTTTAGGTGTCCGCGTCCGCTTAATAGAGGTATCCGCTTAATAAAGGTTTTATTTAAAATAAATGAAGGAAATAAATTGGGGGACTTCGGGTACTGTCCGCTTAATAGAGGGTGTCCTCTTAATACGGTGTCCGCTTAATACAGGTTTCACTGTACGAGAAAAGCAATTTCTCGCCTGAGAAAACAGCTGACATTTCACGAGGAATCTGGGTAGTGCTTCGGATTGGTTGAACCAAATTTCACGAACGGCACGACCAACTAGAAGCACTACCCAGATTTGGGTAGCGACACGTCATCCGTATGGAATTTCTGCGCTCGTTTCTCAGACGTCATGCTCAATTCGCGGGGAAACCGTTTGTGGCGTCGCGAAAAGTCGGCTGTTTTCTCAGGTTAAGAAATTTCGTATCTCCAAGCGACCATGTTATGATGTATTTCTTACATAAACAAAAATGAAATACCAAAAAAATGGGGTAACTTAAATAATTGATTTGCTGAAAAAGGCGCAATTTATTATGTAGACATAGCTTTTCACATGTGAAGATATCGGCCCTTTTATTTAAACGTCGTTTAATCAGTGTCTAACAAAACCGCGTTCTAAGCTATTTTCAGTTGCCCAACGCTTTTATTTAAACACCATTTGTCGTAAACAATTTCATTAGAGCATATACTGTAGACTAGAAAAGCATTTGTCGTTTAAATAACTGACCCATCATGTTTTCGCGCGAAAGCTAACAGCTGCTATTTCCTTGGTGTTTATACAATTATTCCACTCGCGCTTGTTGGATATGAGATGATTATGACCAACTCATATCCAACGCGCACTTGTCGAATAATTGTAAAATATATTACTTAAATATAAATATTATTTCAATATAACTGCATTTTAAGAAGAATATCAAATCTAAAATAACAACAGTCCCTAAAAAGTCAAGACTCAGCTTCCACCTTCACGTGCCTATTGAGATATCGATTTCTTTCATAATTTTAGAGGTTAAAATAGAAATAGAAATAGAAAAGGATGGCACCCAACTTTGAAACAACAACTTTGGCACATTATAGGCTTTCACGTTTATTAAACAATAATAACATGTATTGAAGCTTTGTTGGTAAATATGAGCAAGTTAGCACTTATATTTCATGGAAAATTCCATTGTATCAAAACTATAACCGTTAGAAAGAAAAATATAGTTCAAATGAGACCTTTGACTGCTGAAATTAGATAAAAGCAAGTAACAAGACCAGAATTATTATGGGGAAAAAGGGGTAAGGGATGAAGTACTCCAAATATGGACAGCAGGTCACTTTTCTCTACATATTGGTGTAACAGTCCGAAATCCACAAGGGGAGAGGTGATAATAATCCTCTCTAGGAAGTGATAATCCCCCAGGATAGGGAGAGGTGACTCTTGGGGTTGATAATGCCCCAGGATAGTGAGAAGCTAGGTGATAATCATCTCTAGGGGTTGATAATCCCCCAAGGTTGTGAGTGGAGGTGATAATCCCCCTTGGGTACTGGAGAGGTGGAAAGACCTCTCTATATGTCTAATTCCCCGGTTTAAGGAGTAACAAGAGTCTATGGGACAAAGTGTGACCTGTATGGGAGCACTTCATCCCCACAAATACACCAAAGGGGTATTCCCCATAGACGAACAACAGGAATTGTAGGGCTATTTCCAGAGTCAAATGTCACTTGAAACAATAGTCACATGGTACTTGAACATTGCGTGTAAGATTAGACTGGGCAAATGTCTCATCGACTAGGTATCAGCTGAGGACTTAACCAGGAACAGCAACAAGTTGGTCAGGGGCCTAAGACTTCCTCCACAGCAGATGAGGAGATGTGCAATAGGCAGGCAGCATTCCATTTGTTGCTTATGGCTGGAGATATCAGTGTCAATCCTGGCCCTATTACTTCACCGAGTCATATTCTGCCTGAGCTTCATGACATGTTCTCAAAGAAGGGTTTATCGATACTTCATCAAAACATCAGAGGGCTGTTGGCTAACAAAGACAACGTCTGCCGGGTTCTGGACGATTTTCACAAAATACAAATTCTATCACTCAGTGAGACACATCTGTCAACTGATGATGAACCTCAAGCACAAATTGATGGTTATTCTTTTATTAGCAAACCAAGAAAATCAGCCAAGGGCGGTGGAGTTGGCGCCTATATCTCATCTTCAGTGCCGTATCATCGAAGATTGGACTTAGAGCTAGACGATATTGAATGTCTGTGGATAGAAGTTTTATTTCCTAAATCTAAAGGTTTTCTCATTTGATTTATTTATCGTCCTCCAGATTCATCGAAACATCTTTCCAAAAATTTTAATTGCAAATTGGAATCAATGCTTACGAACATCTCTTTGGAGAACAAAGAATGCAT